TCATCGCTCATCATCTCAAGTTCACCCCAAAACCCCAAAACCCCAAAACCCCTATATAATAAAAACAATTGAGATATAATCATTTTTAATTCCATTCGGAAAATGTCTAAAAGCAATATGTTTGCTGCCTTCGCTAGTGATAGCGAAGACGAGTACAAGGCTGTTGAGTCCAAGAAAAAGGTTACCAAGAACACCCAAAAGAAGCAATACAAGGATGATACTAGAAATGTCGTCGGTTCTAGAAGAGCTGAAGAAGGTGAATACGATTTCTCTGAAAACAAGCCAAGAGGCACTAGAGGCAGAGGAAGAGGAAGAGCAGCCAGAGGCAGAGGAAGAGGCAGAGGCGGATTCGAAGGAGAGCACAGACCAAGAGGCGAGAGAGGATTCGGAAGAGGCAGAGGTAGAGGCAGAGGTAGAGGTGGATATGATGCCCATCACCCAGGCCCAAGAGCTGCTTACTCCAAATTTGCTGACAGACAACACACTGGTGAAGCTGGAGCTCAAGAAGAACACGCCGAAGAACAAGAACATTATGACCAAAGGAGATATTACGACAAGAGATCCGGAACTGGTCATGGTAGAGAAGTCAAGAAAGGTGGCGCCGGAAAGGGCGGCTGGGGAAATCCAAACCAAGATCATAAGTTAGAGCACATGGATGCTGAAGTCGCTGCTGAGGTAGCCGAAGGTGAAGCTGATAAGGAAGAAAACAAGGAAGAAACCGTCGAGCAAGAGCCTGAGAAGGAAGAAGTTGAAGAAGAAGTCAACAACTTGACTTACAAAGAGTACATGGAACAAAAGAGAGCTGAAGGAGCAGGATTTAAGAAAGGCAAAGCCAGAAAGCCAGAAGAAATCAAGGTCTCTAACATCCAGAAATACCAGAAGAATGATACCAGTGTCAAGAAAGTTAAATCAAACATTAAGAGCCATGAAGCCTATGCCATGAGCGGAATCAAAGGAGATGTTGAAGTAGGTTTCCAAGCCGTCGGAGAGGAACCAGTCGAGTCATTCGATAGAAGAGGTAGAGGAAGAGGAAGAGGCAGAGGAGGTAGAGGTGCCTTCAGAGGAGCCCCAAGAGACAACCAAGCTCCTCACAAGCCATCCAGAGGAGGCAAAAAGAAGTTTGTCGCTAATGATGACGAATTTCCAGCTTTATAATTAGGTTCCTTTTCCTAATTATGGAGTTAAAAAGATTCTTGGACATCATAGTGTGTTTACAAAAAATCAATACAAAAATCACTTCATGGGGTTTTGGGGTTTTGGGGTTTTGGGGTTTTGGGGTTTTGGGGTTTTGGGG